TGTATGTATGTATGTATGTATGTATGTATGTATGTATGTATGTATGTGTATGCAATCTCTCCCCTCCCCAGCTCTGGGATTACAAGTGTGCTGCCGTGTCTGGCTTTGATGTGGATACTGGGGATAGAGTTTGGGTCTTCAGGCTTGCCCAATATGAGCCATCTCCCATTCCTTTTCTCGCCATTTTGTTTGTTTGCTTGTTGTATTTATTTTCTAAAAAAAGTTTATATTTTGATTATTTAGGATTTCATTAAGTATATGATGTTATATGATCATATCCATCTACCATTTCCCCCTGGACCGCTTCTCCTTGGGACGGCTTCTCCCCCAAGATGTTTCCTTCCCAATTTCTTCTCCTCTGTCTTCCTCTTCCTCTCCTTCTCCTTTTCGGGGAAGTTAGTATAGATGTCCTCTTTGCAGCTGAACACCCACAGTCACCTATTCTGAGAACTTTGGCTAGTTATGAATCCGAGTATTGACTGCTGCCCACTTCTAACAAAGGGTTCCCTGGGGCAGGCTGAGAGCATCTCACATCTATAAATGTTCAGCAGGCAATTTGACAGCCATTTAAAACCTGTCACAAGTCATTCTTAACTTGTGCAGAACCAGGCTGTGGCCTGGATGAACTTGCTCACCCCTTCCCCTGAGGCGGACTGTGACTGTTTTGGTGCTAGAACACAGATGTGACTCTGTGTCCCTGGAATGATTTATATAATACTTAGACATCTCCCTTCCAGCATTGCTCTGATCTTAAAGAACAAAAATAATTTTGCTTGAACTCTGCTTTGGTGATCAGGAGTCAGATTACAGTACATTCTTTTTTTTTTAAAATTCTTTATTAATTACACTTTATTCACTTTGTATCCCCCCTGTGGCTCCCTCCCTCCTCCTATCCCAATCCCTCCCTTCCTCCACCCTCTGAATGCATGCCCCTCCCCAAGTCCACTGATAGGGGAGGTCTTCTTTTCCTTCCTTCTGATCCTGGTCAATTAGGTCTCATCAGGAGTGGCTGCATTGTCTTCTTCTGTGGCCTGGTAATGCTGCTTCCCCCTCAGGGGGAGGTAATTAAAGAGCAGGCCAATGAGTTCATGTCAGAGACAGTCCCTGTTCCTATTACAATGGAACCCACTTGGATACTGAACTGCCATGGGCTACATCTGTGCAGGGGTCTTAGGTTATACAGTACATTCTTAAGACTTTTTTTCCCCTCAGCCTTATTACTCAGGTAAACTGTAAAAAAAAAAAAAAAGCAAGTTGTAAGAAATGTATTTCCACTTGACCATCACCGGCCACCATTGGCCTCTGACCCTGAGTGATGTGCACTAGTAGGTGGATGGTTTGCAGATACCATTTGCCAGATAAGGTGAAGGGAACAATGTTTTAAAAACCTCCTTCTTTAGCATGAGCAGTGCAATTTAGACAAGAATGGTATTGGGGGATAAAGATGGCTTCAGTTCTGCCTGAGCCTTGGCTTCTGTAAGCAGCTCTCGGTTCTGCAGCTGCTGGATCCTCTTGATCGGGTGTGCCCCTGTGGGCGGGGTGAGACAGTTTATTCTGGAGCCAAATATGAAATGACCATGACCTGTGAACACAGATTTAGGTGACTCCAGATTCCATGTTCAACCTGGAACCTTTTACTGAGCTCTCACAGTAACAAAATAAAGAAACCTCTTATATCACTAGCTGAAGTATTAAGTCTCGATCATGGGTTCAACCAGTTTTCATTTAGTACGTCTAAATGAAAGGAGACATTATCCTTGTGGCAGGGGTGGTACCTGAACAGATGCTCACAGTCTGCAGAGGGCAGAGGCCTGGTGAGTGATGATGCAAAGTATCTGTTGGTTGTGGTTAGTGCTGCAGAGAAAATAAAACTGCAGATAGTGTCCTGGGAAAGCTGGGAGTTTGAGGTGCGTGGGTGTGGTTATTAGACAAAACCCCACGGGTGGTGATTAGACAAAGGCTTGTGGGAGGTGAGGGCAGGAGCCTTGTAAATATTAATACAAGGAATTGGGCAGAGGCCTAGAGGCTGGAGTGTGCCTGGAGAGTTCGAAGAACAGCTTAGTTCGATAAAACTGTTTTGTTCAAATGACACAGCCTAGGGAAGGGGCCACTGTGGCAGCAGTTGCAGTAATAGGTTAGACTGGGCAGGTAGGTGTTTCACAGATTGGCTTTACCGTTGGCTGAATTGGTTTTAGGGAATTTGATGTCGAATTGGATCCCGACAAAGCTCCTCACGAGACCTGAGGGAAGACGCGGTTGTTTTCAGATGCTGCTGTGTTGAGAAAGCAGAGTGCTCTCTGGAGAAGGCAGCGTGTAAACTTGAAGAGTCAGTGAACTTGGGCATGCAGAACTGAGACGGGCGTTTCCAGAGGCAGTGGTTGAAGGGCCTGGTGCGTTAGTTATCTTTTGTAACTCAGCAGCCTGAATCAACAAACACGTCTTGATGGACAGCGTTTGTGTCAGGAATTCTGTATGCCTGAAGCTGTGAGCTCTGGCGAGGTCTCTCCTGATGTGGCAGACGAGTGGTGATGGCCATCGCCTGAAGTCTTGGCTGATGCTGAGCTGCCTACTACCAGGAGGACTCAATGCCAAGGTTGCTAGTACAAAGCCTCAACTCCGACACAGGAAGCCTTATTCCTCCCTACTGTGGAACTTCGCAGAGCTGCCCAGTGCCCTCTACCCCTGGCTGCTGACTTCTCAGCAACCCTCGAGCTGGAGAGCGGAGGGAAAGGCCAGGGTGCCTTTGTAGTCAGCAGTGTTCAGTGTGACAGAGTCTTATTGCTTAGAAGTAGGTCATTAAGTTCACACTCACAAGTAGTAGATGGAAGCACTGCTAAAAGGGAGGAAAGAAGGGAGGAATTTGTGCACATATTTGAAAATGACAGGGTTGGAGTTGGTCGTCAGCTTCACGGAGCATAGAATCACTTGGGAAATGGGCCCCTGGGCATGCATGTGTGGGTAATCTTGAGTGCGTGAGTGC